TAACAGAGTTTATCTTAGAGTCAGAGCTCTAAGAGGTGCCTCTGTCTTTGGCAGAAAGAATTGATCAGGTTCATGATGGCAGGATGACAATGAAGGAAACAGAGCCGGCCTTCTAATACCTGCTTCTAGTCCTTAGGATATTTCAGAGTGGTGTGACCTTGGTAGATTTTTTAACCTGGGTATGTTTCCTCAACTATAAAAACCACATTCGTGGGGCGCTTGGCTGGCTCAGTCGAAAGAGCACGCAACTCTTGATCTTGGGGTTGTGAGTTCAAGCCCCACTTTGGGTATAGAGATTTACTTAAATAAAAACTTAAAAAAATAATAAAAATAAAAACCACACTTATTTATAGTTATGCCATGAAGGGTAGATAATTTATCATCAGTTACCTGTGGCTGCTTGGCAACAACCCAAAACTTAGCAGCTTAAAAAAACCAGTTCATCTCGTTTCTCAGTTTTGTGGCTTGGTTGAGTGGTTCTTTTGCTAGTGTCATGTGGGTACTCTGCATTCTGCTGGCAGATTGGCTGGGGGCTGGGTGGAACAGCTGGGCCTCTCCATGTGGTCTTTTACCTTGGGCTTAGGGCATAGTGGTCTCAGTACCAAGGAGGCAAAGGCAGGAGCTTCAAAGCCTGAGCTCAAGAACTCACAGAACATCACTTTCACCACATTCTTTTGGTCACAGGAGGTCATGAGGCTGGCCCAGATTCAAGGCGTGAGGAAATCGGCTCCTCATCCTGAAAAGACAAGCTGCAAAATGCAGCTCTGTTTGCAGTCTGCCATAATCATGTATGCAAAACAGCCATGCAACAAGCATTGGTCAAGCTTTTAAGGTGCCCATCATTTGTTTTTATAATCTGTATATTCTCTAAATTAATTTGGGACTGTAGTGAAAGCCCCCAAACCCTAATTTATTAAATGCATTTTTACAAACTCTGGGTCTTTGAAGATAGATGGAGTCATTGGGTCACATAAAACTGGGATTGTCGTTTTCGCAAGATTAGATAGAAAGTTGTGGGTGTTGTGACTACTTATGAATTAATGTGAATATTCCACAAATATTAGATGAATGCCGACTGTGTGCCAGGCTTAAGGGCTGCGCTTTCTCACTCACTGGCACTTGCAGTCTTGAGTTGCAAGTACAAGTTACAGAAGTACAGTTGTACTTATTTGTAACTATACATAAACACACTTTACAGAGTTAAGTGAATCGAATTTATTAAAATTAAAAGTAAAGAAGACAGGCCATCTATAAAAGCATGTGCAGTTTTTTAAAAAATGCTGTATTCAAACAGTTGGCAAAATATGCCAGAAAATAGATTTAGATTTAAGATTCAGCTAATCTAACTGGAAGAATTTTTGCTTTTGACATGTCCACTCACATTTTTGGGAAAAAAAAAAAAAAGTTAACATAGTTGAAACCTAACTAGGATGTGTTACCTGAAAAATGAGAGCAAACACCTTATTAGTAATTTTCTGTCATTTTTACTTAATTCTTAACAAAAACCCTGAGATAAATAGTAATTGTGTTGAAAGAGACCCTTCTTGAGGCCAGTCCCTCTGCAGTGACTTAATTGGATCTAGTTTTGTATAATTTTAGGGACAGCTACTTTTTAAGTGCTATTGAAAGTGAGTGATTCATAAAGCAGGAAGGTTGTACTTGCAGTGTTTATTAATATTTGTATGATACCTTAGAGCTTACAGAGCACTGTGACTATATCATTCAAGTTCTCCGAAAAAAGCAACTTATTATCCCCATTTTTCGGTTGAGCAGTCAAGCTCACAGAGGTAAATGAATTGCCCCAAATTATATAGCTAATAAGTTGCCATAGCCAGATATTTCAATCCTTCAATCTTAAAATTGATTATGAAAGCCACTTCATTCTTATGGTTTATAAAAGAAATATTTGCTTTAGGAATAGGCTTCTTTTATGTTCCTGCTTTATCCATTGCCAGCTTTCAGCACAGCATCTCTAGAATGTGCTCATTATAGTCAACATGGGTTCTTTGCAAAAAAAAAAAAAAAAAAACCTGAAACTTCTGAGACTTCACAAACTGGGTGTAGAAATGCTGCCACCTTTGTTTGGCTGCCAAGACACTACCACAAAGGACTGTAGATCCAGGTCCATTTATTTCACAAGAGTGGGTGCAGCTGTCTTCTTGCTGTAATCAAATGCTCCTCTGTAGCCAGCTTTTTGTGGCCAGAAAAAGCAAAGTCATTTTTAGTACAGATTAGCATAAAAATCTCTACTAGATCGGTTTCAGGAAACAATTACTAGCTTAGAAACAACAATAAGTGTGATCTATAGGTTGGTTAAAATGGCAGTTAGTTTCCAGACTTTTTTAAATGCCCTTTATTTCTCACCATGAATACTACATAAATAGAATACACTGCCTGCCACTGTATTTGGTTTCATAAATTATTTGGACAGGGTGAACAACAGACTTCAAAACTAAGTAGAGGTAGTAAATCTGCCCTTTTTAATGAGTTTGAATTTACAGTAGTAGTTTAAACATCTGGAAATTTAAAGTCTTAATTCATTCCAAATGTTCAACAAGGATCTATTGCAAAGAGGATATTGTAATGGGGGTGGGGGGATCAAGAAAACGACTATTGACTCAATTTGAAGCCTTTCTAGTTTCCTGTATATACATTAATCACATAAAACTTGGGAGGCTGACAGTTCAAAAAGGTAGAGATGGACCCAGATATCTAAGTTGGCATGTTTATAGAAGAATAATTTTTAAGAGAGGGCAGTTGTAACAAGGATGAGGTTTTAAGTGCTGTTATTATCTAAGATATGGCCAGAAATTGCTGCTGTGTTCTATTTTTCTTCTGGATGCGAGGTGGCCTTTTTATAATTGTTATTTAAACTGGACTGAGGGGACTCAAATCCTGTGACTTACAAATTGTAATTTTGATTAATGCATCTTGTAATCCAAGAATCTGGTCTGCAGCCAGCACCTAGCATGAGACCAAGCATTCATTTAGTGCACACTTCCTGAGCCCCTACTGGTTGGTCATTAGGTGTTGGTTTGATTTTCTTACGGCAAAACGGTTGTGGCTGCAGGAGGATCAGTAGTCCTTGTCTGTGGCAGCTGCTGCTAACTATTCGTCCTATGCCAGTGCTGTGCTGAAGCACTTTAAACTTACCCAACCTGTGAAAAAGGCAATATTATCCCCCCTTTTTTTCAGGTGAAAACCTAAGGATTAGAAGGTTACGTGGCTAGTGAACATTTGAACGAGGATTTCAGCGTGATGTAAAGATTTACAAATCTAATTTGTTGTCTCTTATAGTTTGCTTTTCATGTTAATTTTCAAATTCTGTCTTGAATGCCTGTAGTGGTCAGTCTTTTCAGCCCCAGGCATGAGGCTAGGTGTCATGGATACCAAGATGAATGAAGTGGAGCCCATGCCTTGGATGCAAAGGTAAATAAGATTGATCCCATACTTCGGTCAGCTGAGTCACCTGGGGAAGCCAGACCTGCAAGTCAGGATCTGCCAGGAACTAGGCTAAAGGTAGGGTATTGGTATAATTGATCATCCCATCCAGAGCACTTGTGAGAGTATAAGGAGGCACTTTTAACAGTTATGCCAGATAAACCAGGACTCTCCAGAGCAAACTGGGACTTATGGTCACTCTAGCTAGAGGAAAATCCACGGTGTGAGTGGAGCCGACTGGAGGAGGTGATGCCCTAGGTACACTTGGAGTGCAAGGTGTGAGACCTGTTCTCGTCTCTGGTCATCACCCTCACACCCTTGCTGTTCGCTCTTCAGAACTCAGCTTAGATGACACTTTTCTGGAGGCTTCTGGTCCCTGAAATCTGAGTCAAGTGACCCTTACATGTGCTCCCAGGCTTACCTGGCTCTTCCATTAAATGTAAGCCCTGTGAGAACCTGTGTGGTTTCTACATGTCTCCCTGTTTGAGGCTAAGAGAAGACAGTAGGGAACAGCCTTTGCAGCAACCTATAAACACAGCAATGTTTGTTTTCCCACATATTGCCTCCTTGGATTGATAATGGTATATAAAACTAAGCCAACTTCACCAACAATTGCCAGTAAGTCCAGTTGGAATAGGTTTGGAGCCGCTGAGAAATTGACATTTGTTAAGAGTAGACCCACCTTTGAAAATTGTGTGTACATGGGACTACATGACTCTAAATGTTTTTAGATTAGTCCCTCGCTTCTCAGTGAAAATGTGACTTGTTATCTTAGTATTAGAAATATATATATACAGTTGACCCTTGAACAACTCAGGGATTAGGGGCACTGGCTCCCCTGCACAGCTGAAAATTGTGTATAACTTTAGGCTCTTCAAAAACTTAACCAGTAGCCTCCTATCGACCGGAAGCCTTACTGATAACATAGTTGATTAACACATATTTTGTATGTTATATGTTGTTATGTACTTTATTCTTACAATAATACCTAACTTTATCTTATCTTTTTGGTATTTCTAGGCTATGCAGTTCATCAATGAATTTTTTCAATTGCCTCAAATCTCCAAAAAAATTTCCCAATATACTTATTGAAGACAATCCACTTGTAAGTGGACCTGTGTTCAAACCTGTGTTGTTCAGAGGTCAACTGTTAGGTTCTTCATTTCCCCTCAAAAAACAGTAGATAATCATTGTGATATTCAGTATCCTATTTCAGGCTTTCAAGATATCTGATGAAGACAGTACTTCTTCCTCAAACCAGTATCACACATGTTAAACTGTTAAAATCTACATGGCAGTAGAGTTTTAGAGCCGGAAGGAGTTTGGGAAACTATATAGACAAACTCTCATTTTACACAGGACTGGACAGGGCATCTTGCTCTGGATGATGCCCTCAGTGGTGGCAGAGGCCAAGGGAGAACAAGAAGTGTTCTACAGTGTTGTGCTCTGCCATGCCACACAGACATAAGATGGAGAGCCTGAGAGACTCATTTCTTGGCAGGTGAGCAGTGTCCACCCTTTAAGCTGTTACTAATGTAAACAGTAATCCCATAAGTATGTCAGCTTTATAGGAGATTTATTAAGCAGGCCAGGATCTGGGGTTAGTTTGTGTTACTATAAAATTTTGATTTAAAAAATATTTGGTATTGCTTACATCTTATTTGGCAAATTCCTATTCTTGGTGTGATTATTTTTCTTTAGAAGAGTACATGTGGTTGGATTATGGGTTTACAAAGCCTTTTTCCTAAAAAAAAAAAAAAAATGTTGTAAGCTTTCCTTATGATTGCATTTTGTGGGATTTGGGCTTCGTTTTAATGAGAGCAGCTACTATGTATTGAGCACTTACTATGCACCAAATATCATCTTAAGTACTTTGTATGCATCGTACATTTAGCTTCACCATAATCTGATGCAGTAGGTGTTGCTGTCCTCATTTCATGGGTGCCAAAGTGACTTGTCCAAGGCCATTCAGTGGTGGAGTGGGATTCAAACACCAGCTGATTCTGGTAGACTGGGTTGCTCCTCAGAGTAGAAGTATCCACCTTTTAAAAAATGTGTGAAAATATGTGAAAAGACTTGGAGAAAAGTACATCAAAATACTAACGATTAACTCTTGGTGGTGGGTATATGAGGAATTACGAATTTTTCTTTGGCATCTACTGTTTTCCAAATTTTCTATAATGTATATATTTTTCCTATCTCAGAAAAGATTAAGTAGCATTCTGGAAAAGAACATTTGAATTTCAAGATCATTTACGTGAAAACATTTTTCTTGCAGAGGGTTTGTTACTACTTTTCCAGTTGCTTTTAACACACATCATGCCAGGCATTGTGCCAGGCATTTTTGCTACAAAGATAAGATACTGACACTGGGGGCAAGTTGTTAGGCTGCTGATTCTTAAGGTCCAGCTCAAGCGCCACTAGTGCACCCTCACCTCTTGCCCCCAGTTACTTCTTCACCACCTCTGCTGTTGCCACTGTAGTTCAAACCACCATCAGCTCTCTCTTTCTCCCTCCCTCCAAGTTTGTGTTACAGCTACTAGCCAGAGTGATCCTGGACCTCCTCTTCTCAGGGCTTTCCAGTGGTCTTAGACCAGAATCCAAGCTCCAACTGGGACTGGATGTACGTGATCTGGTCCTCTGCCAACCTCTGGCATCTCCTACTCTGGTTCTTGTTCACGCTGCCGACTAGTATAGTTTCATTTTGGTTTCTCCCACTCACCAAGCCCATTCAGAGAAGCTCGTTCAAGACCTTTATACTTGCTATGCTGTGAAGGCTGTTTAACCCAGTTAGCTTCTAGTTCACTTTTGCATCATTTTGATCTTTGCTTAAATATTATCTCCACAGAGAAGTTTTCTCTGCCTCCCCTTTCAAAACTAGTCTCCCTTTACTAGAAATGATCAGTCTTGCATCCTAGTGTGTAAGTTCTCTGAGGGCTGAGACCTTGTCGTGTTCACCGCAGTTGCGTCCCAGTGCCCTAAACGGTGCGTGGCATGCAATGGTGCTTTGTATTTGTTGAGTGAATGGCCAGATGATGTGTTCTAGTATCAGTGGGAAATTCAGAGTGGCTGGAGGGCTGAGCGGAGGAAAGCAGCTGGAGCTGAGGATGGAAAGGCATATGGAGCTGTCCAGTCTCTGAAAACCTTTGAAATTCCTGCTTAGGATTAGCCATCATCCCCTGGTCAGGGCATACTCCAAGAGATGCTAAGAGCCTGGGCCTCTTTCCTGTGTGAATTGCCACAGGAGTAGAGTCCTTCATAGGTGCACAGATGAATATGGCAGAGTTCGGCCTGCAGTTTCTGGGCATGTTTAGAAAATGCGAGAGCACAGTTGAACTAAAAAGCAAACCCCACATTGGTCACTGTTAATCATAATTAATAACATCTGTGATTTGTATAGTCTTTCTTCCAAAGTGTTCCAAGTCTTGAGACGTGATCCCTTTGGTTCCCCCCAGGCCCTGCCACAATAATGACCTTGGCATGTGACTCACCACCCTCCTCTGCCATATAATACCCTCTTATTTATCACCCGTCTTACCCCTTCCTTTCCAAGTCAAGTAATTTCTGCCTTGTTTTTTCTTCTCTTCCTTCCCTTCTCAAACCACAACCCATATAATTTTCATTGCCCTCTTTAGTACCTGTTTGTGTCTTGGCTCCAGCCTTCTTATAGAGAAGGGGAGACCTAGAACGGTAGGGAGGGAGAGATGTGCACTTTTAAATTGCCTCCGTTTTGTAGTGGCATTTTCCTCTGGGCTGCAATTCCTTTTCCAGCTTTGCAGTCTCCCTGGGTAATAGATGACTAAACACAAAGGGGGCTGCTGGTGCTTTAAAATCATTAGCAATCTCAGTGCTCATTTGAGGTTAAAGTCTCTACCTGTAGTAGGAGATTATCAGTATGCTTAAATAATAGAATTAAAGTAATGGTTTCTGCTATGCTTCATATAATGACACTTACACTTAAGAAGGAACTTAATATTTATTGGGTGCCTCCTGTATGCCAGGCACTGTGTGAGATACATTATGTACATAATCTCATTTAAGACTCACATTTTGATGAGGCTGATAAATTATCCCCATGAGAGAACTGAATTTCAAGGAAACTATGCCTGCAGTCACATGGTCCGTGTCTGTCTAAAGCCAGAGCCTGTGTCTTTGCAAAACACTATGCAGCTAGCCTCAAACTGCCTCCCCCGCCCACAGCACGTGAGAGTGTCCCCAGGGTCTTTGCAGACCTGTCCTTTCAGTCTTCCCACAACCTGTGAGATTGGTGGTGTCATCCCCAGCCGACTGGCCAAAATACAGCACCACTGGGACTCAACTCCTGTCTCCTCTAGCTCCGTGGCCCTGTGATTCAGAGTCTGGTGTTTGGGGAAGGTTCTGTGCACATCCCTGTGTTAGATGAGGGATCTGAGTCCAGCTCTAGAAAAGTTAGAGCATTGGTGGGCTATGCCAGAGGGGCCAGACCACAACCTCTGTGACATCACTGAGAGCAGGGATGTGGGTACCCATTTCTCTGGGGAGGCCTGGACGAGACTGCTATCCCTTCCCTGCTGGTGAGAGTGAAGGCGGGCCTGGCTGGGACCTGGAAGCACCCGAATGAGAGCAGGGGCAGAGCTGGCCAGACCAGCAGTACAGAGCAGAGGTTTGGTGTGAGGACAGCCAGCCAGTGCTGCTGCTTGGGAGCGGTAACCACTTTACCTCACTGACTTCAGATGTCACTCTGTTTATTGCACAGTCGTGGGCAACCCTCACCACAGCTTGGAATGCTACTTTGTCCAAGGGAAGACTTGGCTCACCTGAGTGCTGGTTATGGTTAACTGCCCCAGAACAAGCAGGAGGTATTGATAACGTGAAGACCCTGGAGACCCACTTCTCTTCTGTGCCCTTAAGAGAGAGGTTAGGCAGGTTGCTGCCCCTCCCTGGGCCTCAGTCTTCTCATCTGTGAAGCGGGATGCGAATATCTCCACGATTAAGGACGAAGTATTTAGTCAGTTACATATGCGATCATGTTACTGAAATGCTCTGATGCAAAAATGCTTCCAGATGAAATTAAGAAAGGATGAGCTTCACGCCAAAGGACCTGCAGAGACTTCTTGGAGCAGTGTGGTATGGGTAGGTCCCAAGGGCGGAACAGGGGTCAGCAGGGAAAGATGCAGAGTTCAGGCAGCAGCCCAGGAGTCCTTCCAGACAGGGAGGACCGCTGCTCTGTCTCTTCCCTTCCCATCTGACTCCATCAGTGCCTCCCATGCTCACAGCTCCAGCCTTCAGCTCTCAGTTCTGAGAGGCTATTAGTTATGAGACACACTTTCAATTAAATGGCAGCTTTTAGGGGAATAGAAAAGTGTCTCCACTGTAAACACACATTGGTTTTAAGTTGCATCTCGGTTTCAAAACCATTAAGTTGTGGGGAAAAAGTGTATCTTAGAATTGAGAAAATACTAAATATGTCACTTCAGAATAAATACTACCAAAAAAAGTTCATCATGTGGACCTTGAGACCAATATTCGTGTTCCTGTTCTGCCACATACTAACTTTATCATTCCGGGCAAGTCGCTTGATTTCCCTAAGCATCAATTCATGTTTTAAATGGTCTATAAATTGCCTGGGCATAGGAGATGAGCAGTTAAGGTTATTTGAATCCGAATGTTGATTCATTTTGGAAAGAGATCTGTAGAACATATTTTGTCTAAAATTAGGGGTTGCCATAGTTAAGAAAACCCCACAAACCTATATATTGTCATTTTAGGATAGTATAACAGAGCAGTGGTTCTCAGCCAGGGGAGATTTTAACCATCAAGTGACATTGGGCAATGTTAGGCATTTTTGGTTGTCACAGCTGGTGTGGAGAGGGAGCTACTGGCATCTAGTGTGCAGATGAACATCCATCAATGCGTAGGACAACCCCCCGCCCCCCCAGAACAAAGGACTTTCTGGCCCCAAATGTCCATAGCATGAGGGTATGAAATCCTGACACAGAGATTAGGAATATTGATTGTGGAGCCCAGCTATCTGGATTTGAACCCTGGCTCTGCCACCTGCCAGCTGTGTATCCTTGGGTCAGTTACCTGACCTGCGTTCTCTGGGGGAGAATAGTAATGGTTTCTGCCACATGGGGTGGTTGTGAGGTTTACTAGGACTTAATTTAGGTAGAGAATTTCGAGTGGAAACTGGCTTTCAGGAAGCACCCAGTAAGTGTCAGTTGAATAAGCACTAGACTTTGTGAATATATTTGGTGACCAGAACTAGGACCTCAAATAAGTGAGTTAACTCTTTGTGCCCCAGTTTCTCCATCTGTTAAAAAAAAATGTGATGGAGGGGCGCCTGGGTGGCTCAGTTGGTTAAGCATCTGACTGGCTCAGATCATGATCTCACAGCTTGTGGGTTTGAGCACTGCATCCGTCTCTGCTTTGACAACTCAGAGTCTGGAGCCTGCTTTGGATTCTGGGTCTCCCGCTCTCTCTGCCCCTCCCCCCACTCTCACTCTGTCTCTCTCTCTCTCTCTCTGTCTCAAAATAAACAATTAAAAAATTTTTTTAATGTGATGGAGATCAAATGAAATCAAGAAGATGACAGCACACTGGAAACAGTGGAAAATTTTACAGAGACATTTGTGTCATTATTACTGCCTCAAAAGCCAGTAAGAGAATGTCCTGGGGTGACGCAGTGAACTCTCCTGGGTCGGGCTGTAACTCAGAAGGAACAACAAGAGAGAGGAGGTGCTCGGAGCAGCACGTTGCAGGCCCAGCAATGGACGGCACCTTAAGTACATCCTCAGCTGTGAGTCCAGGAAGTTGCCTTTATTGCATAGTTATGTGCAAACTGCGCCCCGGCTCCACATACCACTTTCCCCGGAGGAGTACTTGGCGAATCAGCATACACGCCTGTTCTGCAGGCTCTAAACTCAGGGAAAAACAACAGCTTAGATGGAAAGAAAGTCCTGCAAAGTCCCTTGGCCAGGGATCTGTTCCTGCTCTGCCTGTGTCTTCTCTGGCCCATTTTCTCAGCACTGAGAGGAAGGAACTGGATTGCTGGCCTGGACTACAAGATCTGCCTGAACTCTAGCTCTGACCATACAGGATTGAGTGAGGATTATCTTAACAATTATATCAGCAAACAGTTAATGTAGCAGAATTGTGTCAAGCAATTTACATAAATAAACTCATGTAATTCATAGAACAACGTTGTGAAACAGAGTGTAACGTCCATATCACTGATGGTATCACCGAAGCTCAGAGACATTGAGCAACTTGCCCAAGAATGCATATAGAGCCAGGTCCACACTACTGTTGACCAACACACCACAGTACCCCAAGCCAGATGTGCAGAGCCTGGGAAGCACTAGACACTTAATATCTGTTCATCGAGTTTAGTAAATGAATGCCCAAGGGCAGATCACAAAGTGGCCTGTTCCTTCTCCAGTTCTGTCCATCCCTGCCTCTTGTCACCTCATCCCCTCTCCTTGCCGGGGCTCCCAGGGCCTGCTCACTCTGGCCAAGAGCTTGGCACCTCTGGGCAGTACGTAAAACTGTTCTCTAAGGGACCCTCAGGGGCAGCAGCAGAGACTAGCCTTTCCCACTATTCCATCTGGTGAACCCACTCTGTGCCAAGCCTGGGGGGTTGGGCACACAGCTGTCATCTTGAGCATCTGCTCTGAGGGGGACCCACATCTGTGCGGCGTCAGTGGGGTGAGAGGGAGACTGATGAGAATACCAGCTAGTTATAAGCAGAATGATACAAGCAAGCCTTGAAAGGGAAAGGCTCGGAGAAGCCTTCCCTGGGGGTGAGGATGCTTTGAAATTTGCATACCTATATTTGGTGTAGACTGGGCCACAGCTGCCTTCCCATCCATCCCAATTTATCCTCCTCCATTCAGTGTCCTGGCACCACACAATTGAAAACTAAACAATAGTCTCTCTAGCAGCCCGGAACCTGCACTGGGGAAGAAGGGAGAAAGAAACTACTGCTAAGTACCTACTATGCCAGGTCCTTTCATCTACTTGGACTTAATACTCTCAAGAAACCAGTGAGGTAGACACACTCATTGTAGAGTTAGGGAAAATGAAGTTCAAAGAGGGTAGGCAATTAATTTGCTGAAGGTTCCAGAGGAAATTGCTTATCAGGATAAACAAGTCAGTTGGCCTCTTTCTGTTCTGGATCCCCATGCAGGTCCACCCTCACACCACCTCTCTGAGAGAGGCCAGCGTTGGGGTGTCCAGTGAGCTGTAGAGGCTGGGTGGGGAGTGTGGGTGGCTCAGTTTCTGCAGACCCCCACAAGGTTCTTTGGTCAAAACAATTCAGGGGAGGGGCGCCTGGGTGGCTCAGTTGGTTAAGCGTCTGACTTCGGCCCAGGGCATGGTTTCCCGGCTCGTGAGTTCGAGCAGAGCCTGGAGCCTGCTTTGGATTCTGTGTCTCCCTCAGCCCAGCGTGAGGGAGAGCTTAGGAGAGAGGGACTTCTCCACCTGTCCCTGGGACTGCCCAAGATCGGGCCAGCAGGCTGCTTTGGGACCTGCAGTCAGACGTCCAGAGTGGAAGTTCTGCCTGCACCACCCATAACGAATAGGATTGTGGACACATGTATAACAAGCTACTGCATCACCCATTATTGACCTGAGCACAATCACCCCTCTTAGTTTAATTTTCCACTCTATCCCTCCCTCTTCCCTCCCTCAGTCATTCCTCTATTGCACTCAGCAATTACTTTCTTTCAATAAGTGTCTGGGGACACTTGTCAGGCATCTGTAGAATTTTGCCAGGATCCAAGAAGCCTTCATCATAGTGCAGAAAGCATAAGACCCAAGCCTTGACGGATGACTTAAACTTTGGCAGGTAGAAATGGGTTAAAATAAAGAGCAGTCCAGACGGAAGGGATGGTGTGTGAGTGAAGACAGAGAAGTAGTAAAATCTGTAAGAAGTGTGAGCAATAACTTGTCATCCACTTAGGCAGAACACTTTCCCAAGAATATTTGACCACGGAGCATCTCACAAGATAAGTGACCTGAGGAACGTACTTCAAGAAAGACTGAGGCACAGAGTGGGGGCATGGGGCAGAGAATAGTGAGTGTAAAGGCATCTGTGCTTGCTGCTGGACGTGGTGATTCTCAGCATCTATTCCACGGAATACTGGCCCCCAGAGGTTCTCTGTGGTCCTGCAATAAGCGTGGGAAGTACCACATACAGTGTCCTCCTCAGGATTCACGAGGCACAGTGGTATATTAAAGGCTACACCCCCACATACCCCAAATCCTGCAGCAAAGACACGTTAACTCTGCTTAACCCTGCATGGACCGAACTTCCTTTACCACGAATCCCTTTGTTTCAGGGAACATTTTTATTTGGAGGACTAGAGGGTTAATTTTTTTTTTTTTTTTAATTTAAAATGTACTTATGAATGCATTTCAAACAGAGCAGTGGGGTATCCTGTGAAAATTGTCTTTCCAGCCTCGGCTCCCTTAGACCTAGTTTTCTTCACGGGGTAGCTCTTCTGTATCGTCCCAGAGAATTCTAGGGTACACAGGATGTAAATGTGTATTTTCTTTTCAAAATGCACATGAAGGCAACTGATAAGCACGTCTCTTCTGCACGTGTATTCCATCCTAGGGATATGTGATATATTATTAGGCATTCCTCTAGTACTGGCATCAAGAGATTTCCTAGTCTTAGGGCTCCTGGGTGGCTTAGTCGGTTGAGCATCCGACTTCAGCTCAGGTCATGATCTCGTGGTTTATGAGTTGGAGCCCTGCATCGGGCTCACTGTTATCAGCACAGAACCCACTTGGGATCCTCTGTACCCACCCCCCCCGCCGTCCCTCCCCCGCTCACACTCTCTCAAAAATAAACAAACATTAAAAAAAAAAAAAGATCTTTCCTAGTCTTTTGTTCATCTGAACCACGGGTTGGTTGCTGTGGCCTGCTGGCTAAATCTGGCCCTCTTTCTTTCTTTCTTTTTTTTTTTTAGCGGTGAACCCCTATGGGTCTCAAGCCTAAAATCGTTACTGTCTGGTCCTTTATAGCTCCAAACAATACTGTAATGAATCTCCTTACCCATTCTTGGAAACACTTGCAAGTAGATCTCTCCTAAATATATCCTATTTGGTCTAAACCAGTCTGAGGGACACAGCTCCCTGTTTAATTGATTTTTCTTTTGTTTGAAGTGAGGTTAAGCATCTTTTCACAGATATAAAAATGTTTATTTTTCTTTTTTGTAAATTTCATTTCTTTCCAATTGAATAAAGAATATGAACAAAGGTATTTTTCTTACTGCCTGATAAAAATATTAAAGGAATTAGCATTTTGTCTGTCTTGTGTATAAATGTTTCCTCCATTTTTCGTTTGTCTGACTTTGTTTATGGGCTTTTTTCTTTTTTTTTTCCATGCAGAGATGTACTCTGTGAAGTGAAGGTGAGTTCAGGTACTGACGGCATAGGGGGTGGGAGGACCTGACCCAAGCAGGTGGTTCTTGATTTTGGAGCCCCTGTCTTGTTCTAGGTCCTGGGAATCCAGTGGTGAACAAGACAGGCAGAGCCTCTGCCATGATGGTGTTGATGGGAGAGTAGGACAGTGTTCAGCCAGAATGTCACAGGGAAACCTCCCCCTGTGGAGGAACTACCCAGGGATCCAGGCTGCAGAAGGAGCGTTCTGAGCGATGATCCGTACAAGGCTAGACCTCAGAGAGATGGAGGTTTCAGAGTTCACGTTCCTGGTGCCCAAGGCATCCTGGGTGGTGGTGAGGCACCTGGCACAGCGATGTCTGGCTGCTGGGGGCAAGGACGAGAGTCCAGGAAGCCTCCTTGACAGAAAGTTGCCCTATCAGGGTCTGCCCAAGGCAGGAGTCTTGTCTCTGTACAGAGAAGGAAAGCGACTCCCAGGGCTAAGCCATGGCCAGTAGAGACTAAACTGAAGTCTGAATGGTTAGGACTGGTTGGGGCCGTGCTGAAGTGTTGCTCTAGGAGCAGCAGAGGATGGGAGGAAGATGCTGACCTCTGCTGGAGTGAAGGCCTCTCCCTGCTCATCCACGGCCCTGGCCTTGTGCACACCTCTCAAGAAGACTAAGAGGGACAGAAAACCACATGTGCAAGAGAGGGTGGCAACCGGGGAGGGAAGACGGGCAGGAGGGAGCAGTGATGAGAGAGAGGGGCTGAGAGCCTCAGGCCTTGAATGCCAGGCTAAGGCAGCGAGAGGCTGATGGGGGTGACGAGGGCCAGGAAGTCTGGGAGCTGCTTTCCTGTCTGGAGCCCCACTCCCTGGGCTCCTTGCAGGCAATGACAAGGAAGAGGGGGGAGCCGTGGGGAGAGCCAAGAGCTCACAAAGGTTCCGCTGTGCTTGGCCAGGGCCTCCGCCAGAGCCCGCTTGCCTGCTTGCTTGCTCCGAGGGAAGGATCTGATTCGGAGAAAGGTGGTTGCCCGCGGCCCAGGGCCAGGCCTGCTGGCTGCCAGCCCAGCACAGCACCCCCACTCCAGGATCCCCATCCCGGGGCCTCCTCGTTCCTCTTTACTTTGGTGCTCCCTGTTAGGCTCCGGTAAAATTCCACAGCCTTGAACTGAGGACTCACTCAGTGCTGGGGGGGCAGTGCTCACCTGAGGACCTGAGGGGGAGGGGTGCACAGGATGGGCCAGTGGGCCCTTCATAGAGCAAGAAACACGTGGAAGCTGCCCCGCACTGAGCACCTACTGTTTGCCAAGCACTAGGCATTTGTAGGCTTCACATTCAATCCTCCCAGCAAGCTAGCATGGTAGGTATTCTTTCCATTTTACAGATGAGGAAAGAAAATCCAAGAAAGGCTAAGTGACTTGCCCAGGGACGATAGTGAGTCAATAGTAGGGCAAGAATTCTGACTCAAGTCAGCCCTGCCTGTGAATCTAATCTCTACTTCAACCCTAGAGTGCTTAGTGCAGGATATGACCCTGTGCCTTACACATGTCTGGCACAGAGTGAGGTTCCCATGAAAGCTGACTCTATCCTGTACTCTCTCTGCTGGAGCTTGTGAACTCATGGCAATTCTTGAGGCCACTAACCTTCCTTTCGATTTAGTGATGCGAGCTCAGAGAGGCCAAGCAACCGCTCAAGGTCACCTAGCTTTGCAGCAGAGGATGGGGGAAGTCGGGGGAAATTTAGAAGTGAGTGGGGCGGAGCGAGCCAGCCCAAGTAATGACAGGAGTTTTCAAGATGCCCAGGGTGCCAACTGAAGACCGGAGGTATCCCTGCGAGCTGGGTGGCAGTGCTGCTCACGGAGTATTCCGCCCTGCCTCTCAATGGGGTTCTCACTCACCGGAACAGCAGTGCTCCAACAGCTGGTCTCAGGACACCTACCTGGCCTCGTGTGTTCCCTATGATACTTGCAGCAAGAAAGGGCCTTAATTGGGCCTATTTCCTCTTCTGTCAGATGAGAGCAGCTGGAATAGTTCTTTGATTTTCCTTTTTCAGCAGTGGCACCTTTAAAAGAATCTTAAATTGAACCTCGATATTCTTTCATCCATTCAACAAACTATTGAGACCTTCCAGGTGCCTGGAACATATGGCCGACCGGATTTTCTTCCTACTTTGAGGCACTCTGACATATAATAGAGAAATTAAGTGTCCCTAACCCTCTGCTCGGGACTAAAATCGGCCACCTGGGCCACATCCTCATCTGGTGAGCCTACCCACCATAGAGTTGGCCTGAGAGACTCACCGTCCGTGCTGACAGGGACCTTAGAGATATTCACATACGGACAGCCAACCACACCACAGATTAGAGGATGAAAGGCCCAAAGGGTAGACCAGGCCGTGGGGCCCATGGCAATCTCTTCATGGCGTCATTAATCGAAGAGACTTTGCAGAGTCATTTGAGACCGGGCACGTCTGTGAGGAGAGAGAAGCAGGGAGGAGGCATGGCCTGAGCAAAGCCCTCGAGGTGGGAAAGAAGCTGTTTTGCAGAGGCCAAGCCCCTCCACCTTCTGTCTCCTGCCTGGCAGAGCCTTCTGAATAACCTCCCTCTCCTCCACCCACCCCCGCTATCCTCTGCCCAGAGCCAGGGTGCCAGCTTGGGTCTGGTGACAGCAGCCTCAAAGGAGCTGTTGGATGGCTGAAGTCCTCCACTGTAGAAGCTCTGGCATCTTCCACAAGCCCAGCCTCGCCAAGCTGTCCTCCTGCCAAGCTGGAGAGTGGCTGGCTCCCGAGGGGGACCCTCTCCAGGCAGGTAACTTGATCCCCGGCAGCACAGCACCAGCCCATCTCTGGCTACCAGAGCCAGAGCCCCGAGGGGTTTATGGCAACCGGGCAGGACCTCGGAGCAGTTTTCAGGGTCAGGAGAAGGAGCTACCAGGAAGAGTTGCAGCTGACAGGCCAGAGGCCCGGGTTCCAGCCCCAACCCTTCGCCAACTTGCTGTGTGATTTTGGGTAAATCACTTCCTCCCTCCAGGCCTCAGTTTTCACGTAAGGGAGTCTGACAGAGGGGTGGTTCCCAGAAGCCTGCATGGACTGAGCGGCCTGGGTCTCCGACACAGGCCTCCTTGGTCTGCCGCATCCCTTTCAGGTCGAGGTCTGATTGCTCTGCGCTGGGTGGTCAGGGTGCCTGCTGGCTCTGAATCCCACCACCTGGCCTCCTGCCCCTTCAGGTAGGAGGGGGAGCAGGGCCTGGTGCTTGCTGTCTCAGTTCTCAGAACATTCTAGATTCAGTGGGACTCCACTGGGTGTGGTTTCCATTTCCTTGTAGATAACCAAGTGAAACAGGGTTTTTCCTCAATAACTGCAATAAAGCTTAGGAACAAGCTGGATATAGAACTCTACTTCCTGTCTGAATCCCTAAGTTGACAAAACCAACGTGTGAGTGATATTGTGAAATCGCTTTGACTGTTTCTCCCTGGGATTTTTCTCACTATCATATCATTTATTTTATTTTTTTCTCTAATGTTCTTTCCCAAGCAAAATAAGAAGTTGGCAACTTTACGTTATTCTCCCCACTATTTAGAATGTGCCCATCTGTAAAACCTAACATTTGGGGGCCTTCTGGGCCAGCTGATCTAATGTCCCGGGCAGTGTGAGCGCTCTGTGGCTCTGCCTGAGCCCTCGGAGCTGGCATCTTCGATGCTGCACCAACCAAAGGGAAGTAGGCCTGGCCTGGGACGCTGCCCAACCAATGCCCGAGGACAGGGCGAATCTGGCCAGATATCCCTCCAGATGTGGACCTCAGCACTGCTGGCTGCTGAAAGCCAGGGCCAAGGGACAGTGAAGAGGAGTGGCTTTGGGCAAGAGATGCCAGGGGATGAATCATTTCTTCCACCCAGAACTCTCTCCAGCCGCTTTTCATTAGCCATTACTCTTCCCTTTCACCCACTCACATTCCTACACACCTAAGAATCCCTAGGGGCTCTTTTGTGCACCAACATTGCCTCTCTCCCCCGACTCAATTCCCAGGTGATGCTTCCCAGACTCAGGAGGTCATTCTCTACCTCTTGTTTGTCTTTATTGATTTACGGAGAAATCCTGGCACCTTCTTGAAAGATTAAGGAATTTGTTCAAAATCACACGGCAGGCTGGGAGTCCAGGAGGCCACATCCGCTCCACCAAGGCAAGGCACATTTATCAAGGACTTGCTTTGTGCCAAAAACATAGGTAAGGGTGACTGTAAGGAAAAAGAGGCTTTCTGTTCAATAAGTATTAAGTGTTATTCTGTTCAATAGCACGTGCCCAGCCCTCACGACATACTGACCATTCACGCATTCAGCAAATATTTACTGAGCAGCTTCTCTGTGTCGCTTGGCTATAGTTACTGTCCTTGGGGAGTTCACAACCTGGTGGAAAGAAAGAATACCCACAGATGAAGCTAGACAGTGATCATAGCAATCAGAGTGGGATAAGGGATGGGGGAAAGGAAGGGTCCTATGAGGCTGTGGGGACCATGGAAGGCTTCTGGAAGGCATGGCATTTGAATTCGCCCCTCGGCAGATGAACTACATTCCACCTACTACTTAGCTTAGCTCCCCAGAGTCCCCCCAGAACGTTCTTCTCCTGCTAGCATTTCAGTATCGGTCAGTATTAGGCTAAGCCTTCTGCTAAAAATGACCGCCCTCCTGCCACTAGTAGCCTCAGCTCAGGGGTTTGTTGTCACTCAATTAAAAAAAAATTAGTTGTACATGCATGTAGTTTAGAAAGCCGGCAAGGCTTGTAATGGAAGGCAGCCATCTCCCTGCTCAAAACACACATGTGCGCACACCCATGCATTTGCTTGCTCTATAGAAGCAGTCGCTTTCCACTCTAAATTATTTGCCTCTCTTGCTACTTCTTGATTTTTTAGTTTTAGGTTTCTTTCTCCTTGCCTTCTCTATACCCACATGTCCATTTTGTGTCCCCCACCATCTGTCCAGTATAGCTACATCACAAATTTGGTTGGAAGAGTACTCACCGTTTGCATTATTAGGCCATATAAATGCTGTTGACAAGTGAGCCGTGTAATACTCTGTGATTACTTTTCCTTTCCTGCCTAACAATTACAGTTATGTAATCTCTCAATATGTTTAAATGTGTTGGATAGTCTGCCAGTTTCATTTCCTTGGAGAAATCTCTTCCAGAGTCTCCCATCCTGTTCCAGAGAGGATTGGTTGCTTTCTACTGCACAACTGTTGGCCTGGGGACTCCTCTGCTCCTCCTTTGTGGCATTTTCTCTTCCTTAGATACCATGTCCTCCCCTTTCTTGGTTTGCTCACTCGTTCATTTCTGCTAAAGCACATCCTCCAGCAGCTTCCTGAGAAAGTGTGCAAAGAGATCTTACATGACTAAATAGGTCTTTATTCTCTCTTCACTCTTTATAATCATTTGGCTGGGCCCAGAATTCTGGGATGGAAATAATTCCCCTTGGAATTTTGAAGGCACTTTGCCATTGGCTCCTAGGTCCCATCTTGCTATTAAGAAACCCAATGTCAGTATATTTCTTAATCTTTTGTGTGAATCCTGCTTCTTTTTTTTCTTCTATCCAGAAGTTTTTGTGATCTTCTCTTTGTTCCCAGAGTTCTGAGATTTTGACGTCATGGTATCAGTCTACGTTCACCCATTGTGCTGAGTCCTCAAGGGGTCATTTCAAGCTGACACTCATGTAGTTCAGTCCTAGGATATTTTTTTCCTAATCCCTCTTCCTAGAATCCCTGTCATTCAGATGTTGAGTTCCCTTAACTCGCCCTCTAAACATCTTGTCTTTTCTGCTTTCCATTTCTTAGCCTTTTTGTCCTGTTTTCTCAAATTTATATCTAACAATTCTTTTGAGTTTTTCATTTTCTGCTATCATTATTTTTAATTTCCAAGAGTCATTTAAAACATTTTTTTAAAATGTTTATTTATTTTTGAGAGACAGATGGAGTGTGAGTGGGGGAGGGGCAGAGAGAGGGAGATACAGAATCCAAAGCAGGCTCCGGGCCCTGAGCTGTCAGCACGGAGCCTGATGTGGGGCTTGAACTCATGAACCGTGAGATCATGACCTGAGCTGAAGTTGGACGCTCAGCCGACTGAGCCACCCGGGTGCCCCCCAAGAGTTCTTTGTCTTGTCACTCATGGATGCAATTAAAGATACATTAATGATGGTTTTCTCTTTCGAGCCTTCTGCTTTTTGCATAGTTGCTATCTTCCAAGTTTCTCCCCTTGTTGGTTCGAACCTCTTTCTTATTAGAAGCTTTCCCTCAGACGCTTACTCATCTGCTCATAGTAGTCTGTTCATATTTAAACACGGGGCACTAAAACACCTTATGGACACCTTATGGACACGATTGGGGCTGGGTGCATGGAACTGGTTGGGTCATTCCATGTTTTTTTCTGTTGAGCTGGTCAAGAAAAAAGCTCCTTCAATCTCCTGCCTGGGGCGGGGGGTGGGGGTGGGGTGGGGGGGGTGGGGGTGGGTAGGGGTTACTGTCTCAGCAGCCAGAGTTTGGGTAGTTGAATGGAGAAAAAGGACTAGAGACATCAATATTGGGTCCACAAGTAATTACTTGATTCTGTTGTCAGAACGCCCCCAGAATAGAGATCCTCTGCTACTCGCTTTTGAGAATGGACCTTTAGCATTCGACTAAACACTAAAGGTGAGGAGGGTATCTGGGAGTCTAATTGCCTCTTAAATAGATTTTCAAACAATCTTCCTATTTTAAGCCTCCCCACCATGCACCCAATTTCTACAAGTACCTGGTACAGCCAACTCCCGAACCATTTGGGGATTTCACAGTGTAAATTGGGCCGCTTTTCAGCTTTCTTTATTGCCTATTTAGAATTCAATCGCTTACTATTCTTTGTTGGCTGTGTCTGGTTTCTAATATTTTGAAAAGTCCCTTTACTGTTGTTTTAGTTGGTTTCAGGAAAGACCACAGTGTGTGTTCAACTTGCTATCCTTATCCTATTTCAATTTTTATTTTAAAAAAAAATTTTTTTTTTCAACGTTTATTTATTTTTGGGACAGAGAGAGACAGAGCATGAACAGGGGAGGGGCAGAGAGAGAGGGAGACACAGAATCGGAAACAGGCTCCAGGCTCTGAGCCATCAGCCCAGAGCCCGACGCGGGGCTCAAACTCACAGACCGCGAGATCGTGACCTGGCTGAAGTCGGACGCTTAACCGACTGCGCCACCCAGGCGCCCCACTATTTCAATTTTTAAATGAACAGCCACAACACGTTTTAGAGCAGGAATTCTCTGCTGCCAATTTATAGAAGTAAACTGAGGGTAACCAGCATATGGAAGAGGCCTTCCTCACTCGTTCTTTACCTGACAAGACCTTTTCTGGGTCTAAAAGCCCAGACCAAAAGCCGTCCTTTGTGATGCCTTCCTCAGTCTCCCAAGCTTGTACCTGGTTTCACCCAAGTTGGGTCTACTGAGTGATACACATTCTAGAGAAGCTTACAGACATTATCCTTTACGCTTTACAGCTATAGAGACTCAGGGGGATCCACAGACCAAGATCCCCCCACCAGTGAGTGACAGGATTGAGATTTGAACTCA